TTTTTTTCAGAAATACTGCACATTTACATTTTTCTCCTAAATAAATTCTGGTAAATAACATTTCTGTTAAATACTCCTTTAAAACGTGTTTTTTGATTATAATTTTATTATTAATAGACTAGAACACGGGGATATGTTGTCATTCTTACACTATAATACTGAACTTTGATTTCAGTTATTTGGACTATGAGATGGACACTTGCTTTTTGCACTCTATGTTGCACTTTACTTTTGCTTTAAAAAAAGGATTTCATTAGGTTTATTCAAATATTCTTAAGTAAAAAAAAAAATTTTTTTTTTGTGGGAAATTAATCGTTTAGATTAATCGATTAATCGATAAATTAGTCGATAGATTAATCAAAATAAAAATAGTCGTTAGTGGCAGCCCTACTATGATGATACTAGGGGTGTGCGCGACGACTAATTTGACTGTCGTTTAAACGAAAGTTTTGTATCCGACTAGTCTAAAAGCAAGAAATCCCCAAAAGATGGGTAAGAAAAAAAAAACTCTGTGCGTGTAGCATATATAATAGTGTGATTCATAGATTAAGTATTTCAAATATAGGCTGTCAAATCCCTCAATGAATTCTGCTTGCCGCACACTTGCCTCGCGTTATCATCATTTCATTTTAGGTGGTCGTTAAAAAGAAAAAAAAGATCATACACTCAACATCGGTCAAAGCATATCTTATTTATTCAAATCAGCTGGGGAAATGCAGAACAATGGAAAATCAATCAATAGCCTGACAGAATTCTTAATCTTCATATAACGTTAGCCAGCATATTAAAACACAAGTCAAAAACAATAGGAAGGTTTATCAAGAAATAGCATTAAAACGGCTTTTAAAAACATACTTCGTGTAGGCTATATTGTCTAAAAACAAAGCAATGCAACAATGCCCATTTTACTTACTCAGACCATGCGTTATTTGTTCAGTGAAATTATCAACGTGGTCTGGTGAAAGACGGGGCCTGAGGCGATTAACAATAAAATTCCTGCACTTGCAAAAACGCACTCGGCAGGAACTGAAGTCGCAGGCACGCAGAGATAACGAAAAGCAAGCCGATAGAGTTTCAGAAAGAGCCTGGACATCCCGCACCACCACCGAAGTGGGTCTTCATTAATGTTAAAATGATGGTAATTTGAATGATAAAATCATGTTTTTGTTTTTGTTTTGTTTTTTCTGTCGTGTAATCGACTACTGTTTTCAGTGTCGACTAGCAGGAGCTGTACCGTTTAGTCGACTAGTCGACTAGACCCGCACATCCCTAGATGATACACATCTGATTTTTTTCTGTTTATGTTCACTTCACTTAAGACATAACCAACTGTGTTAACGGGTGCTGAAACTGGAATTTTAAGATAATTTTGGACACGTACACCCTGCAAGTTTCAGGAATGACAGCCGCATTAAAACTCCCGAAACTGCCATGAACTGCTCACTTTCTGAAACGTGTCTCTCTGTGTTGAATGTGTGTGCACAGATAACAGCGCGCGAGTACCGAATTGAGTTCTCTTTCGCTTCTTACGCTTGAATGGTAAGACTTAGAAACACGTGCAAATGATGAACTTTCACTCTATGCTGGTTAAATTTAGCGAATAACTTGCGGATCACATGCGTGCTGAACCGTGAGGCCTGGTCTGTATGGATCACTAGCCGCGTTTCCACTGTCGGGTCAAAAGCGGGCGTGTCAGTGCGTGCCAGGGCCAGTCGCGTTTCCACTGTCACTTCCGGGGCTTGATCTTGCCTCGTCGGTGCTTCCTCGGGCCAGCAGCCAGGGTTTTCTGGCCCGACGAAAACCTTGGGCCAAAGCGCGCCAACTGGGGCTAGAGGAGTGGTTATGAACAAAGGCGGAGTTTCTCCGCGTCTGGAGAGCATCGGATCACTTCATAAAGTTAACAGCTATAACATCAGCATTAAAGACTTGTCAAATAATTTTAGCTCAAAACTCACTTTCAGACAGCAGCGAGTGTTTAAAATAACTTCTGTTTGAGATCTGATTTGGATTATGATCACCATACAAGGCAGAAATATTTATAAGCGATGCAAAGGACAATGCACGCTAGCCTTAACGTTACCATAGTAAACATGGTAAATATGACCGCTTGAAGAAATCAAACGTCAGCTTCTCATTCTCTATCACAATCGGGTATTTATTTATAACATATTTTATGTGTCATAAGTCTCGTCTTGAGACTTTAGCTCCGCATATGTCATATATAATAATGTTTTTTGTTCGGGAGCTCCCTCTGCAACTCAGGTCGTATTTTTGATGGAAAAAATATATATGATGTATAAAATATGATGTATACTTTGACTACAAATAAACAGAAACAGACTCGACTGAATAAGTAGGCTATGTGTCCTCTTTCTTTTGTGAAATAACGGTTCATACTGTTTTATTTCTGTGTGACTAATTTTCAATCCTGATAAATTAATTCATTATATGATCAATGTATCACTTATTATCGTAAAACTTAGATGCTTTTGGATTTAAATCTTTAACAAAGCATGCAAACAAACAGCCACTTTTATCATGTTCGCTTTGTGATCGCGCTAGTTCCAGTGACTTATTTCTTATTAGTTTTCTGATAACTTCTCTTTGTTGGTGAAATGATGGGGTTGCGTGACGTTGTTCCTGAGAGGCGTGTAAAGGGGGTGTTTTAGTGAAGCGCAGCGGAGCTTCTGGCCCGACGGTGGAAACGCATCGTGATTTTGGGCTCAGTGCTACAAGTCCGAGGCTATTAGCCCTGCCCGGCCCGTTTAAAGCACTGGCTCGCACTGGCCCGACATTGGAAAAGCGGCTACTGACTTTTTTTACATGGCACCCCTGCTCTCACCAGATGGCACCCCGGTTGAGAAACACTGGTTTGATCTATCAAAGAGCTTTTATTAACATGTCATCAGCTATATTTTTAAGACATTATGACCTAAATTTGGAGTCATTTGAAAAAGTAAACACTACCATATCATTCAGAGGGTTGAGGTCAAAGATATTTACTGTTTTTGAAAGGACCTTTTATGATAATCAAGGCTGCATTTACTTGATCAGAATACAGTAAAACCTGCAATGTTGTGAAAAATAATTACAATTTTAAGTAACTGTTTTCAATTTTAATGGTTTGTAAAATGTTATTTATTCCTGTAATTGCAATACTGATTTTTCTGCAGCCATTACTCCAGTCTTCATTGTCAAATGATCCTTCAGAAATAATTGTAATATGCTGATTTAGTGCTCAATTAATATTTCTTCTTATTATTATTATTATTAATGTTGAATGTTTGATAAATATAAAGTTAAAACAGCATTTATTTGAAAGAAATCTTTTGTAACATTTTAAATGCTGCAGTTCAGAAAGATTGAGTCTGAGCAGCAGCATTGATTTGAAATAGAAATCTTTTGTAACATTAAACATTTCTGTTTCACGACTTTTTACCGTATGGTTCTATAGGCTGCCATTGATTTGTATAATGCCAGAAACAGAAGTATAGCAATCACAAGAACAATAGTAAAAATAAGAAACAAACAAAAAGTACCTTTACACTTCCAGTGGCTGGTGGCTAATAGCTCATACCGGATGTATTAAGCTTATACTGCAGGAGACAAAATTGACAATTAAGTCATTAATAGCTATTATTAGTATGACATATAACTGTAACTGTAGCTCATATACATCTTTACACACACACACACACACACACACACACTGAGATTGTGTAATGAAGTTAATCTATACAGCTCTGTGGTTCACACCATGTATTCCCTTCACAGCACCATTTCCTGTGCCGAGAGCGCCCCCATTCTGTAGTGATGGATCTGATCACCCGCACCAAAGACGCTGTGCGAGAGCTAGACAACCTGCAGTACAGGAAGATGAAGAAGATCCTGTTTCAGGAAACTCACAATGGCCCCACACAGGAAGGAGGAGAGGAGGAAGAGGTACATCCAGAGACCTTTGTCTTTGATCCTTCTGTCTAGTTCAGCCCAGTTTCTGCTCTTTTGTTATATTATTCTATACTACAGAAAACAGGAAAGATCATGACATCTTTTTTTGTTTGTGTGTGTGTAGGAAGCAGAGCAGTACCTCTTGCAGACGGGCACGGTTAATAGTATGGAGAGCTCTCAGTCTGTTCCCTCCATGTCCATCAGCGCCAGCTCCCAGAGTTCCTCTGTCAACAGCCTGGCCGATGGCTCCGACGACAGTGCTGAGATGGCCATGATGCAGGAGGGAGAGCAGACAGTCACGTCTAACAGCTCCATCATTCACCGCCCCACTGTACGTAATCAAGGCGGACAGCACACAGTCTTCTGAAACGGTCTTTTCCTTGACTAATTTGTTTTTGTTCATCCGTCTGTCAGGCACGAGATAATATTTATGACGACCCATATCAGCCGGAGATGGAGTCTCCACAGCAGGCATCCTCGGCCGCTCGGAGGAGGGTGCACAGAAACCGAGACCATTTCGCCACCATCCGCACAGCCTCTCTTGTGAGCTCCTGACTGACGTGCAGCTCAAGAGTCCATATTTTTTCTTTATATCGGAAGTTAAGACAGACAACTTTCTCTTTCTCCCTTTCTTTCTTTCCAGGTGACCCGTCAGATTCAGGAGCATGAACAGGGCTCAGCTCTGAGGGAGCAGATGTCCGGATACAAGCGCATGAGGAGGCAGCACCAGAAACAACTGCTGGCTCTGGAGAACAAACTCAAGTCTGAGATGGATGAACATCAGCTCAGACTGGACAAAGAGCTGGAGACCCAGAGAAACAACTTTAGCAGTGAAGCAGACAAGTTGAGTAAGAAACATCAGGCCATCCTGGAAAAAGAGGTGAGGGGGAAAAAAAAGATACTGTACGTTTCACGTCATGTGCAAGAATGGAAGTATCATATGCTCACCAAGGCTGCATTTATTTGATCAAAAATACAGTAAAAACAAATGTTGTAAAAATATTATTACAATTTAAAATAACTGTTTGTTTGTTTTTATTTAAAGGTGTCATATGATGCGATTTCAATTTTTCCTTTCTCTTTAGAGTGTTACAAGCTCTTGGTGCATAAAGAAGAAATATTTTTTTTCTTTTGATGGAAAAGCTAAGTTTGTTGCCATTATTCCACTTGATCCCTCAGAAATCATTCTAATATACTGATTTGGTGTTCAAGTGACATTTCTTATTTTTTCTTATTTTTGTGGACATTGATGCATTGTTTTTTCATTATTCTCTGATGAATAGAAAGTTCAAAAGAACAGCATTTATTTGAAATTGAAAGCTTTTGTAACATGTTTTGGAAATGTTTTTACTATCACTTTTCATCAATTTAATGCATCCTTGTTGAATCAAAATATTTATTTCTCCATACATTTGAATGGTAGTGTGTTTATATAAATATGTATTCTTTATACATATTTATCTGGTGTGTTTTTCAGATTAAAGCTGCGCAGGCGGAAGAGAAAAAATTTCAACAGCACATACTGAACCAGCAGAAGAAAGAACTCAACAGCCTGCTGGATTCCCAGAAACGGCAGTACAGGCAACGCAAGGAGCAGCTCAAGGAAGTACGCTGTCGAAGAGTCAACTGTCCTTATGGCTACATGACTATGAATTCAGAGTAACTGTACTTGATGTAGCATTAAATTATAAAATAGTCAAACTGTTTATGTCTTTTGACTTGCACCATATTCATCCATCTCATTTCTTATCCTTAACTTGCTTTTGTCACCCTGAAATCAATCCCCATGGCAACAGGAGCTGAGTGAGAACCAGTCCACGCCGAAGCGAGAGAAGCAGGAATGGTTGGTAAGGCAGAAAGAGTGTCTGCAGCAGATCCAGGCTGAGGAAGAGGCTTCATTATTACGGCGACAGAGGCAGTATTACGAGCTGCAGTGCCGACAGTATAAGAGGAAGATGCTGCTCGCAAGACACAATCTGGAGCAGGACCTGCTCAGAGAGGTTAGACAGACACGTTTATGAGTGCTTTTCCCTTTCTATTTTGCTTTCTACCTCACTTTTTGTCTGTTGATCTCTTGCTATGTCTTTATTTGTCCCTGTAGGACTTGAATAAACGTCAGACTCAGAAGGATCTAGAGTGCGCCATGTTGTTGAGACATCACGAGTCCACTCAGGAGCTGGAGTTTAGGCAGCTGGCGCTGGTCCAGCACACTCGGGCCGACCTGATACGAACGCAGCATCAGAGCGAGCTAGCCAACCAGATGGAGTATAATAAGCGGCGTGAGCAGGAACTCTGTCAGAAACACGCTGTGGAGGTCCGCCAGCAACCCAAGAGCTTAAAGGTGAGGGGATTTTTAGTGTTTGGTGAGGTGCACAACAGGGTTGGACAAAATTCAGAATTTTTTTGAAATTGCTCCCATTCAGTTTAAGAGTACAAATGTGAATATTCTGTTGATTCTTAACTTGGAATGAATTGCCAAATGGACAAGAACAGATTATTTTTTAGTTATTATTTTTAAGGTAATTGCTATAGCGATGTATTGTTTTTCTATCTTGTGAAACTTGTCAAGAGCATTTTGGGAATTTAATTTCTTAAATGCTCTAAAAATTATTAAATCATTTTTGTCCAATTTGGACAATCCAGGAGACATTTGTTTGCTTGAATGTTAAGTGCTAAAGTATGTTTCTTGCACTTTGTTCTTTCAGACGAAAGAGCTCCAGATCAAACGTCAGTTCCAAGACACCTGTAAGATTCAGACACGGCAGTACAAAGCCTTGCGGAATCACCTGCTGGAGACCACGCCCAAATCAGAGCATAAAACCGTACTGAAGAGACTCAAAGAGGAGCAAACACGTAAACTGGCCATCTTGGCCGAGCAGTACGACCATTCCATCAAAGACATGCTGTCCACACAGGCTGTGAGTAAGGCAAGGAGAGACCTTCTTTAATGCTTTGTTTCGCTTTAAGTGGTGCACAATCACAGGATGATGTGCAGTAACAAGAATAATGCATGTATGCAAACACATACTTGGGTTAATGTCACAGAAACCAGTCAAGAAATTTTTTTCCTATTCCCATTATTCTCAATGGCTTATTGTAATACTATTTTTTTTTTTTATCTGCATAATATAAAGGTAGTAATAATATACAGTGCTTTTAATAATGTATCATGTATCTTTTTCATATAATTAATTTTTTGCATCACAATAATGTGGAAAAAATGGACCTAAAATATGCTTAATTTTGTGTTAACAGAATGCAAAATTAAGTATTTATTTTGATTTTGAGGTGAAATATGACGGGAAATTTTCTTGACAGGTTTCATGAGGTTTTCCCATTTAATCCACAGTTCCTATAACCACGACACTGGACCTAAATCTCTTTATTGGCTGCTTCTCTACTGATGTCCTGCCTCTTTGTTTACCCAACAGTTGCGATTGGATGAGACTCAGGAGGACGAGTACCGAGCGCTGCGCATGCAGCTGCAGCAGGAATTGGAGCTGCTGAATGCTTATCAGAGCAAAATAAAGATGCACACAGACACGCAACACGAGAGAGAGGTCAAAGACCTGGAGCAGAGGGTGTCTATACGGAGAGCTTTACTTGAGCAGAGGGTAAGAGAGAGAAATGGATTGAATATTCCTGAATGAATAGATTATGATGGCTCTGTTCCAAAACCTAATGAAGGGATAGTTTACACAAAAATAAAAATTCTGTCATCATTCACGCACCATGTTGTTCCAAACCTGTATTAATTTCTCTCTTTTGCTAAAAACAGAAGATCATATTTTGGAGAATGTTGGTAACCAAACTTTTTCTCGTCCCCATTGACTTCCATAGCATTTTTTTTTTTATAATCTGGAAGTCACTGGGGACCTGAAACTGTTTGGCTACCCACATTCTTCAAAGCATCTTCCTTTATGTTAAACAGAAGACACTCACTTTTGGAACAACTTGAGGGTGAGTAAATGATGACAGAATTTTCGTTTTGGGGTGAACTGTCCCTGTACTATTTATTTACAGTAGTGTTCAAAGTTTGGGATCAACAAGGATGCATTCAATCGATAAAGAATGACAGTAATACCTTTTATAATGTTACAAATGAATCCTGCAAATGTATGTATCACGGTTTACACAATATTAAGCAGCACAACTGTTTTCAACATTGATAATATAAATGTTTCTTGAACACCAACTCAGAACATTAGAATGATTTCTGAAGGATCATGTGATATTGGAGTAAAATTCATGCTGAAAATTTGTCTTTGCATCACATGAATAAATTAGATTTTAAAATAGGAAACCGTTATTTTGAATTATAAGAATAATTCACAATATAACTATTATTGCTGTATTTTTTGTTTAAATAAATGCAGCCTTTATGAGTAAAATCTCTTTAAAAAAATCATACTGACTCCAAACAAAAGGCAGCATCCTCACTAAAATGGAACTTAAGTGACTGATTTGAAGCGCTTTACATGGGCAACAACTCTATGCTTCATTCTATTAGTTCTCAAATTTCTCCCATTTATTTGTGTAGTGCTTTTCACAATACACATTTTCAAAGCAGCTTTACAGAAAATCATGATGTTAATGTTTATTATCGTAATCTCTTCATGCCTTAAAGTTCCATTTAGCAGATCAGAGGTGGGATTAGAAATAGTGCAATGCACACAGGAAACTCAACTCACAATAGATTTCAGTAAGATGACACTATAATACTGTAATAAGCATCAAAACACATAGCCCACTTTTCTAATTCTTCTTCCTTCGGTCACCCTTTCGCCTCTCTTCAGATTGAGGAGGAGATGTTGTCTCTGCAGAATGAGCGCTCTGAGCGAATCCGGGCTCTGCTCGAGTACCAAGCTCGGGAAATCGAGTCCTTTGACTCCGAAAGCATGCGCCTGGGCTTTAGTAACATGGCTTTGAGCGGCATCCCTGCTGAGGCTTACAATCAGGGTTACCCCAATCCTCCCTCATCTGGACCTGGGGCCTGGCCGTCCCGTCCTGTGCCCCGCTCAGGCAGCCAGTGGAGCCACGGGGTCCAACACTCAGCGGCGCCGCCCTCCTGGCGTAGTCAAAACAGTACAGCCGGCTTCAGCCAAGGGGAGCAAATCTCCAGCCGAGAGAGGGATTTAGACGGTATGGGCACCCGTGGCTTTCCAAGCTCTCGCTCCTCCGCCTCGTCAGCATCGTCTTCATCATCCTCGCATCATCACCTCCGCTACATGCCGCAGCAGTACCACCACCAGAGCACGCCACACCTGTACAGCCGAGAGAGGGAGTGGGGAGGAGGCCACCACCACTCATCTTCATCCTCTTCTCATGGCCACTCGCATCACATTTCTTCCCATGCCTCTTCCCAGTCCCTTGCTCTCCTCCCTCCACCACCTCCTCCTCCGCCCATCTCACTTTCCTCATCTTCTCCTCCATCCTCCTCCTCCTCTTCTTCCTCTCAGAGTGGCTACGGAGGAAGGGGCGAGAGCTTGGCTGTGAGGGGCCCCAGCCTGATGGCTTTGAGAAACAGTCCAGGGCCTCTTCGGAGAACAGCCTCTGGCGGAGGTGCCGGCGGGTCGGGCGCAGATGGAGGTTTGAGCCGAAGTACGTCAGTGACATCACACATTTCCAATGGATCCCACCTCTCCTACTCGTAGAGGGTCGTGCAGGAAGTTCAGATGGTGCAGTTGAACGTTTTGGGGAGAAAAGGCCTTCACGTAGCTCATTTAGGAGTCAAACTGGGAGGCGGAGTGGAGAAACAGTATTTAGATGGGTACACCTTTACTTACAAGAAGATAGATCTCAGGGTTTTGGGATGCGGGAGGGCTCAGGGTTTAGATCAGGAACAGGAAAGACGAGAGATGTACTGTAACAGGAGCAGAAAGCTATGCTGTTGAGTGAGTGGGAGGGAGGGAAGAGATGAAAATAACATAAGTGGTGCCAATACTGCAGATTTGGCTCATCCTCAGCCGGTTCATTTTGGTTTTGTTTTATTTTTAAACTGTCAGACAGAACCATTGAATTCTGCTCTTTCATGTCCAGGTGTTTTCTTGCACATCTAAAGGTTTAAGATTTGAACATTAAAAGACTTTACCAAGATAATATTTTATGCTTAATCCTGGACCATATTAAGCTGAATTCGTTTAGTGCAATTCAATTAAAGACTGGTTTTCTTTTTCTGTAAAAATCTGTCATTTATCTCTTTCATGTTGTTACGAGCCCTACATACTGTTATTTTGTTCATAGAACACAAAAGGAGAATTTTCAAGCAGCACTTTTATATGCAACAAGTTCTGTCAAGATCAAAACTGGACCAAAAAAAACCACCATGCTTTGTATGAGCAGACTGAAATCGAGGTCTGAAAATTCATCAGAAATAGTACGTTCATGCATTAATCTTTTGCAGAACCAAATGTGTGCTTTGTCTTTGTTTGGAGCTGTGAACCTACGTTAAATGGAAAAGAGCTGCATTAAAGAGATAGTTCAGTGGAAAAAAATAAATAAATCATAATATACTCATGTTCCAAACTTCTGACTATTGTGTCTGTGGAACATAGAATATATTTTGAGAAATGTGTTCATGCATAGAAAGTCAGTGGTAACCAGTATTTGAAATATCTTCTGTGTTCCACTGAAGAAAATAAGTCTATAGTTTTGAAACAACAAAATTGTCTCTCTTTTGTGTTTTGCAGATGAAATAACAGCATACAGGTTTGAAATGACACAAGGGTGAGTGAATAATGGCAGAATTATAGACTGATGAGTGTATCTTGAGTTTGAGCCAGAGGATGATGAGTCCTACTAATGTCAGTTTTACTGCTAACAGGAGCGAAGCGAGCGAGTCGGATGCAATAGAAGGTGCTGTAGCATGTTTCAGGGAGATGAGGCATAAACTGAGGAACTAAAAGGGTGATTAAACTGATTTTTGTGTAATTATGTAGATAGCACTCAAACAATACTAAAATAACGTCTATCAGTGATGGTTTAAATTGTACATTTGTATTTGAGTCAAGGACAGGAGGCAGTTTTTTTATTTTAAAATGATTTTTGCATTCTGTATTCTTTTGTTTTTGTTTTTTTTTAAACGATGCCACATGTCATACTGCCATCTAGAGGCTCAGCTGACCTAAAGCAACTCCGCCCACTGTCCTTATAAGGGCATGCTGCCATTTAAGTTGCAGTTGGTTTTAACTGGGCTGTAATTGAGTGTCTGTTTTTAGCGTAGGGGGATACAATTACTTTTAAAAAGAGATTGAACCTGGCTGGGCGAATAAGCCATTTCCTTGCCTGTGTAAATATGATGTACATGTCCAAAAGAGAGTTGGGTTACAAGTTTCCGTGCATGAGACTGATGTACAGAGACCATTTGTATACAAACATACACAACAGACGTTTATATATGACTGAGTATATATGTGTATAATACATCACCTGTCAAAGGTTTGAAAGGGAAAGTCGTAAGATTGTTTCCTGTTCAACACTTTTGATCTATATTGTACTTATACAACATGTGTATATACAAGCACTAACTCTTATATAGGGTAATAATAATTTTACTATGTGAATTGGAAAGTGAGACGGAAAAAATAGATACTGTCATTGTTAATACACCTACTACTGCCGCTGTTATATTTGTGTTGTACACTAATTTTTCTTTTTACAATCTTTTTTTTTTAGACTTTGTTGTTGTTGTTGTTTTAAACAATGCTTACCACTAGGTGGGAAATGTTGGCAGTGTCACAGTAGGAATTTTAAGTCTCTAAGTTTTAGATTAAAAAAAAAAAGGACTACCTATCCCAGCATTCCTTGTTACATCTCAGGGTAGGAGTCTATTGTGCAGTGCGTTGTCAGGAGAGTAGTATTTTAGAGCCAGTATTAAACTTGTACAGAACATTTTAAGAGATTTTAGCTGTATAGAACATTTCTAGACGACTGTAAAGTGTGTCAAACACCCCCGTTCGATCCAGCAGGTTTTTTCCCCTCCATTTCGTTTTCTGGAATGCATTACTTATTTTTGCGCATTTAAAATTTTTATGCACAAAACGGACAAAAGGCATCACAGGCTGTTTACACTGACAACCAAAATCTCCAGCGTACCCGTAAGAACGTGGTGAAAGATGAAGCTCGATTTTGCCAGTAATGTTATATTTTTCCTTCGGGAAAACCGAAATCTTTTGCGCTCCCACACTGCCAGCTCTCTTTAGACACCAGCGTTCACTCGGACTCTCCCTTCGCTCTCCTGAACCCAGGAGACATGCAGTACCTCACTTCCCTGTGCCTGGCCGATCGCTTCTTACTCCGTTTTCAGTGTTCACTTCATTCCCAAACACATTTTCCTCACATCACCGCATTCCCTTATGTCCTTACTTTACTTGGTTGCCAACATCTGTGGACAGAAAAGGAGAAAAAAAAAATTCCTCAGCCCATCTGTAGATCTGGGCTACCATGTAATGTGTTTACAGCAACACATGCTGGATTCTTATTAGTGTCCTCTTGAGGGGGTGTTTCAGTATCTGGTAAGCTTAAGGTAAATGTATGAAATTGCTGTCATCATCCTGCAGTGTTTAAAGAATTGGAGCTAAAATGGTGGAACTGCAGCTGCAGTTGCCTGGAAGTGTGCGTGTTGCCTATGCCGAAATGTATTGCAAAATTGTGATGTTTGAAGGGGGATGGAGAGCATGGTTGTTCAGGGAGCTCAGAAAAATAGGCCAAATTGCGTTCAGGTGAAATGACTACGGGAGAACTCTTTAACACATGGGCTATAGAACTTGTACAGAAAATGATTTACAAGTCATTAAAACGGATTCAAACAAAATGACCTTTCCTGTGTGATCTGTCTGCACTAATGCACAATTTGTTTTCAGCACCTCTAGCCTGTTTTCTGAATGGTGAGTGCGCATCTTCCATGCACCGTCACCACAGTGATGCTGACGGTAGAGAAAAGACCGTTTCCATAGAGACAGAGGCAGTACTAAATGGGAGTTACTGGTTGCTTACACAAAAAAAAATGTTGGTTCTGGTGTAAGGTTATTTTTAGTCACAAAATCATTCCATTTATTTATGGGATATTTTGAAGTTACATTCTGTACTTTTTTTTTCTATTCTGCAGTGTTCTTGTTTAAAGGGCATTGCAATTACATTTTCATCTAAAGATAGCTAAACAACAGATAAAAACATTAAGATAATTCTCAGGTTGGATTGTCAACGTGGCTTTAAAGACTTTGGTGATGTTCCTAACTCTGTTAGAATGTTCTTTTTAGTTTCTGTTCCTTTTATATAATTTTATAACCATAAACTAAAGTTCTCACAACTTTGCATGGAGGTTTTTGTGATTAACCTAACTTAACCATTACGTAAGTTCTTATATTAAGCTAAGTTAAGGTTTTTATTTTAGAACTAATGTCACTTTCCCAGAACGTTGCAGGAGCTTTTTTTTTATGTGAAAACGGTAAGAACTTAACACATTTTACAGTGGTTAAACAAAATATTTTCTAGTGGTTAAATGTTTAATTTTCCGTAATCATAAACTACATTTTGTAAAATTAAACTCACACTGCATATGAATCGCGTGTTTTTTTTTTATTAAACAGACAACATTTCAAAAAATCAGTCAAAACACTGCACTTGATTCTAATTGGTCTACATTTAAAGTAGTTGTGAAAGGAAAGTGGGAAAATGCACATTTTATCAAAATAAACCACTTATTACAAAAATAAGTGCGCCTTATTCAGATTTATTTGGCGCTAATGGCCTACAGACTGTATTATCCCTTGAATATGCATATTTTTGCAGTTCATAATTTTAATTTGAAGCTTTTCTAACTGACCTATAAAACCACTGTTAATGGACATTGCATACATACATAGATAGATTTTTTTGTATAATACATTTATTGGAAAAAAAACGTAATGTTTCAATGAATATATAGGTTTCCATTGCAGTTAAACTAATGGCTGGGTTGAGTGAGCTTTTAAACACGGCCTTCCCCCACTCTGTCACTGTACTGTCAGCCGTGGCATGTGATGCATTCACTCGGTGACACAGAGGACAGCGCGTGCCTGTTAAAGGGGAGGATTCCTCGGACGTCGTGCGCACGTACGGGAAACATGACGTCACGCGCCACGCTCCGCTACAGTTCTCCAGCAGTCGGAGGGGTTTGAAGAGGGAAATAGAAACCTAGAAGAGAAATTTTTAGGCAGCTCCGACCAAATAGAAATGCTCGTCACCATGGCCGAAGAAAATATCTTCCTGTTCGTGCCGAATTTGATCGGTGAGTGTCAATCGAGCGCGTTAACTAACGCAGATCGTCGAGTAATGCGCACATTTAACCGCGGCTTTCTGTCAAATAGTGGTCATTTAATTTAAAATGCGTATTTAAAGGTCACAAAAAGTTTTTATGTAAAGATTCTAGTGTACAATTTTCATGATGATTGTATTTGACAGCGGCTTTATTATTTTTTTTTTTACTTCCTGCAGATGTTGACATGATGCTTTAGGCTGTCACTGTAACGTTAATACAAGAGTGAAGCTCATTCGTAACAGCGCGTTCATCCACTAATGCCATCAGTGTAGTATATAAAAAGGATTAAAGTCTGTATAAATTAAAATTCACCCCATTTATTGTCTAAATCTATATGATGGATCTTATTATGAACAGTTTATTCCTCTACGGTGGCCGAGAGAGCTCAACGCGCTGCAAATAGAAAAAACACCTGCAAATTAAGAAAACAACTTCATCAATTTGACAACACACGCGCTGCAAATACTCACAACACACCCAAACGAAGAAACGCGCTGCAAATACAATTCTTTATTTAGTTGTGCTGTGAGCATTTGCAGTGCGTTTCTTTATTTTGTTTGCGTTGTGAGAATTTGCAGCGCGTGTGTTGTCAAATTGATGAAGATGTTTTCTTGATTTGCAGGTGCTTTTTCTATCTGCATGTGTTTTCTGAAGTTGCAGCGCGTTGTGCTCTCTCGGCCACCGTATATTCCTGCATATGTTATTGTTAACATTTTTTGACCTAGTAATGTTTCTTGAAATAGTCATAACAGGAAACTTTTGAGTGCAACACCCACATCTCAAAATTGAAACAAAAAATCGAATTAACAATTAGTTCACGTATTTTATTAATTCATTTCCACCACGAATTAAGAATTTGTTACCACAACTTATTCATTTGTTCCCTCTTTTTAGTAAATCATGGCCACGTTGCATCAATTTGTTCCCTCATTTATTTATTTTATTAGTACCCTTGTTTTAGTTAAATTGAGGCCACACATTAAGAATTTGTTTCCATGACTTATTAATTAGTTCCCACAACTTCGTAATTCATTCCCTCATTTTAGTAAATCGGGGGCCACATTGTACTAAATAATTCCCTACTTTTTATGAAATCAAAACTTTGTATTACCAATTAGTACAATGTGGCCACGATTTACAAAAACGAGGGAACGAATTTAAAAAATGAGGGAACTAATTCCTAATTCGTGGCCACGATAAATATATTTTTGTTCGCATGTTATGTGCAACTCTCTGTACATGTACACTCATATTCCCTTTGAATCTCTTCCACGCTTTCAATAGGATATGCCCGTATTGTACTGGCTCTGGTATCCTTCTACCTGATGCCCTGCTGCCCGGGTCCGGCAGTGTTTTGTTACCTACTGAGTGCCCTGTTGGACGCCTTCGATGGACACGCAGCTCGCGCTCTTAATCAAGGTAGTGATCTTCAGCTTTGTGTTGTACATTATTCCTCTTTCTTTGCTTTTCTCTCTCTCTATGCTCATCCCTGCCTCTTCCTTAGGTACAAAGTTTGGTGCCATGCTGGACATGTTGACAGACCGTTGTGCCACCATGTGTTTGTTGGTGAACCTGGCACTGCTGTACCCGTCCTACACTTTCTTGTTTCAGCTCAGCATGTGTCTGGACATGGCCAGCCACTGGCTGCACCTGCACAGGTGTGTCCAAACATCAGTTATCCAATAGAATGCTAAGGAATGAGTCCTAAAACCCATCATCCCCAAGTCAATGTGGTTTCAGTGTGAATGAGTTTTTGGTTAAATGCTTGAAATAAGGGCTGCATTAAAGGGGTCATATGATGCGATTTAAATTTTTCCTTTCTCTTTGGAGTGTTACAAGCTCTTGGTGCATAAAAAAGATCTGTAAAGTTGCAAAGACTAAAGTCTCAAATCCAAAGAGATATTCTTTATAAAAGTTAAGAGTCAGCCACACCTACCTAAAACGGCTCATTCTAACACGCCCCCACATGTCTACGTCACAATGTGGGAAGATTTGCATAACGCCGCCCAAATGTTCACGCAAAGAAAGAAGGCGTAACTTTTATTCTCGCTGTACTATTGTTGTTGCTGCCGCCGCCATGTCGTGAAGGCGCTGTGTTTCCTGGTGAAAGCAAAACTACTTTGTTTGGTCTTCCAAAAGAGGACAATATTCAAGTAGCTCTTGTTTTTTACGCGCCGCGATGCAACGCAACGCGTAAAAAGACAGTATAAGTCATTATAATCCGTAATTATGTCCCCACTGGATGCAACAAAAATGCCTCGTTTATAATGGGTTTTACTGGGTTTGTCTCGTCCTGCCGGGAGACAGCATAGTATGGTAAGGGGCATAACATTTCCGTCACACGCTTGAGGTATTCGGCCAATCACAACGCACTGGATAGCTGGCCAATTAGAGCACACTTCGCTTTTCAGACCGATGAGCTTTGTAAAAATCTACGCGTTTCAGAAAGAGGCGGGGCATAGAGGAGAAACAATAATGTACAGTATGTGGAAAATAATGTGTTTTTTTAACCTTAAACCACATAAACACATTTCATTACACCAAATACACAAAATAATGTCATCATATAACCCCTTTAATATATAGTTGAAAAGAACAGCATTGAAATAAACAATAATGTATAGTATGTGGAAAATAATGTGTTTTTTGAATTTTAACGGCATAAACACATTTCATTACACCAAATACACAAAATAATGTTCTTTTTAGCAACATCATATGACCCCTTTAAAAAGTATGTTCTATATAGTATGAATGTAATCTGGATGTACTACATTTATCATGCTGTCATTGTCATATGACCTACTAGCTTCATTTGCGTCAATTCATTGCCATTCACAAGTGGGATAGTAAAGTTTCCGTCACAGGTCATCTGGGGACTTTTTGCCTACTTTTTTATGAATACTGTGAATTCTGACATATTATTCTGTTCCCTTCCTTTTTTAGCCTACTATATAGCATGGAAATATGCAATTTCAGAAGCAGCAAAGGTCTGTGGTTAACACAAGCTCAAGATATTTTTACGTTTTATTCTATGACATAAAATACATCAGTTACATTTTTTAAAGCATTTACGTGTCTTGAAAAAGGTAACAAGTGCTAACAAGTGGCTAAATGGGACTAGAGAGGTTGTCGGTGATCATGATGAACAAAACATGTAAGGATCATAAACTTTTGTTGGTTTTCTGCAATAATCCAAAAGACAGTGGTGGAGCGAACCAGAGCTTCCAGGTTGGCCTATAAAAATATGTCATCCCTGCAGCACTCTATAAGAGACATCTGATGTATGCATGCATAAAGTCATAGTTGATTTAAGACCATACTTGGGGGCATTTGGGTCTCTAGAAATCTCTCTTAATGTTTACAGATTATCACACCCCAAATTGATAAGCATCATCCATCAGAGGCAGATCCTGGCATAGGCTACATAGTCATTTTGCCTAGACTGGCACAGTTCTCTTGTGCAACATGGGACACTACTGCCACCCCTGCACATAGCTCTCAGACGCACGCTCCACTTGTCTAATTGCTCATTTGTAGTCTGCTTTTCATTCCAGTGAAATTGCAAAGTTAAATGCTCCCGCATTTCTAATATACATCTACTAAATATCGACAAACAATTGCAGTTTTATTGCTCCTTTATTGCAGTCATCTGCAAGCTTGTATTCAGATCTGTCTCCATCCAATTAACAGTCAGGTGATAGAACCAAGTCCCTGTCCTTTATTTTGTTATTTTTCGATAATAAATTTCACAGTACGGAAGAAATGATTTGTTGCTATTTCCGTTTCATCACGGCTTTAAAAAACACTTTTTATTTATTTTAACCCACAATCTCTCAGCTAGCAAGATTTTCCTTGTAACACTTTATTAAAATCAGTAACTAACACTATTATCTAACACATGTCAGAATATAAGTTTGTTCATAAAAAAAATCATAAATGTTAATAAATTCTATCTTCTCCACGGACTCCCTGGAGTACGTTCATGGATCTCCACAGGCCCCTAGAATCCAATTTTATTGTATTTAATTTAAGTATCTGTGTTCCCTGCATGTTCTACATAAATCATTGTTAATAATATGAGTTGTTCCTTTTTTTCCCCATTTCTTTCAGTTCCATGATGAAGGGAGCCACCAGTCACAAGACCATTGACCTCTCTGGCAACCCCATCTTACGGCTGTACTACACATCCAGGGTAACACACTCACTCATGCACATTCCTTCACACAGTCAGGAACTCCCATCAAAAGCTTACTGAGTTGTTCTTAAAGCATGCATATCTAGTGAAAAAGTTTTACATGTACTGGCTGTTCTGACATCGGTGTTTTTCCACAGCCGGTGCTGTTTTTCATGTGTATGGGGAACGAGCTGTTCTTCTGTCTGCTGTATGTAATGTACTACATCGAGGAACCCCAGGGTGAGTATCAGCATGCTGTTTTCTCACTGTCTTTATAATGGACCTACTGTGACTGTGATTTTATATTTATAACACTATATTTTGTGTTATGTTACCTTGGCAACTGCTGCATGATTTTGGATGCTTTTGGAGCAAATAGGAACATTATATATATATATATATATATATATATATATATATATATGTGTGTGTATCTCTTTCCATTTGCCAGATTTATTCATTGAAGTAGTACTGAATTCATAAGGATGCACTATAGCAATGCTATAATACAAATGATATTTTATTTAAATATTGGTTGCATTTTTTTCTACCCAGTGTGGCTACAATGGCTGCTGGGAGTTTGCAGCGTGGTCTGTGTGCTGAAGTCTGGCATTAGTCTCCTCCACCTCATCACCGCCTCCCGTAACATGGCTGCTATCGATGTGGCTGACCGTGAGAGAGAGCGGAGCAAAGCACAATGAGACATGAGAGTATGCAGAAACCAAGAAAAATGAGACAAAGGCTGTGCAAAAGAGATGAGCAGAAAATAAATAAATGAGGATGAGATAATGGAAATCAATTATGGGACCACACAAAGCCTCAGTGAGCATTTATATTTATTTGAATATAGATTATCAATGCTATAATGCCAGGGCAAATTCCTTACGAGTTTTACCCATATTCCTGTAGTTGTGCTTTTCATTGCTGTTGATCATGGAACTAGTAGTTGCACTATGAGTGTACCATGTTTATGTCATCTTTGGGGTGTCATCAACATAATTTTTATGTTTGAGGGTTAATTTATTCGTTAATGGAATACTCATGTATAATTTAAATGGAATTTAGAATAGCTCTGCTATTTAAAACCAACATTTCCACACATGCACACACACACACACACACACACACAGACAGGCACATTCCACGCTTCAGCTGAAAGCCACTTGAGTATTACTGTATTTGGCCATGGTTTTATCATTAGTTGTGGTATTTAATTATTTTGAGCTGTCTGTATGAGCCTGTCTATAACTGTTTTATTACACTCACTGTTGTTTTTGTTGCAGGTATATCAAAGAATGTTTATCTGTTTGAATATTAGTTTGAAGAGTGTGAAGCCATTATTATATTAAGCAAGTGGCTCTGGCATCATTTTCGTCCATAGCCTCCTGAATGTATTATTGGGTTGTGGTAGAGTGGTAGACATACTGTTTGCTGTCTAAAGTTTTACAGCTGTTGTTATAAATGATCTGAAATATATGAGAGTTATATGATTGTGGAGAAAAGTCATTTTGTACTGTAACTGATGATTTGACAATAAAGATATCCTGACAACAAGATGCAGCTGTTTATTTATCAAATTTTAACAGCCCTGCAGCTGTTACTGATGATATATTACCATCAGCCCAGCAAACAAACATTATATATATATATATATATATATATATATGTGTGTGTATCTCTTTCCATTTGCCAGATTTATTCATTGAAGTAGTACTGAATTCATAAGGATGCACTATAGCAATGCTATAATACAAATGATATTTTATTTAAATATTGGTTGCATTTTTTTCTACCCAGTGTGGCTACAATGGCTGCTGGGAGTTTGCAGCGTGGTCTGTGTGCTGAAGTCTGGCATTAGTCTCCTCCACCTCATCACCGCCTCCCGTAACATGGCTGCTATCGATGTGGCTGACCGTGAGAGAGAGCGGAGCAAAGCACAATGAGACATGAGAGTATGCAGAAACCAAGAAAAATGAGACAAAGGCTGTGCAAAAGAGATGAGCAGAAAATAAATAAATGAGGATGAGATAATGGAAATCAATTATGGGACCACACAAAGCCTCAGTGAGCATTTATATTTATTTGAATATAGATTATCAATGCTATAATGCCAGGGCAAATTCCTTACGAGTTTTACCCATATTCCTGTAGTTGTGCTTTTCATTGCTGTTGATCATGGAACTAGTAGTTGCACTATGAGTGTACCATGTTTATGTCATCTTTGGGGTGTCATCAACATAATTTTTATGTTTGAGGGTTAATTTATTCGTTAATGGAATACTCATGTATAATTTAAATGGAATTTAGAATAGCTCTGCTATTTAAAACCAACATTTCCACACATGCACACACACACACACACACACACACAGACAGGCACATTCCACGCTTCAGCTGAAAGCCACTTGAGTATTACTGTATTTGGCCATGGTTTTATCATTAGTTGTGGTATTTAATTATTTTGAGCTGTCTGTATGAGCCTGTCTATAACTGTTTTATTACACTCACTGTTGTTTTTGTTGCAGGTATATCAAAGAATGTTTATCTGTTTGAATATTAGTTTGAAGAGTGTGAAGCCATTATTATATTAAGCAAGTGGCTCTGGCATCATTTTCGTCCATAGCCTCCTGAATGTATTATTGGGTTGTGGTAGAGTGGTAGACATACTGTTTGCTGTCTAAAGTTTTACAGCTGTTGTTATAAATGATCTGAAATATATGAGAGTTATATGATTGTGGAGAAAAGTCATTTTGTACTGTAACTGATGATTTGACAATAAAGATATCCTGACAACAAGATGCAGCTGTTTATTTATCAAATTTTAACAGCCCTGCAGCTGTTACTGATGATATATTACCATCAGCCCAGCAAACACAAAACGTTCTCCTTGTTAGGTTCTCCCTTTGGGAAGCAATTTATATATACATATATTTATTTATTTTTTCTTTCAAGAACATTTATTTTAATGCTCATATTGTGTGAGATAATGTTTTGGTTCATTTGAATGCCTAATTAAACAATTAACGAAAAGACGGTCTTATGCTGCTGGTGTAATGTAGCGAATTTAAGTGAACGTTAAAGCAACGTTCTCTGAACCATCACGCACAACCTAAAACAAACGTTCTATTTCCTTTAAAAATGCATGAGTGTTCTGTTCTGCTCTGGGAACGGTTTGCGAGGATCAGAAAGGAACGCACTGTCTGGGAGCTCATAAAATTGTTAGTTGGGCGTGAGTCTGATATATGTGTTTAATCCCATTGGGCGCGTACAATTATTATCGGCAGTGATCTGGAGCCGCTTATTATTTACCGCAGCTGCGTCTGCGTGCGTCTTTACCTTTAAGGACCTGCGACATTTTCCCCCCATACGAACATCCAGTTGTCTACCGCCGAAAATCTCTGTGCTGTAGAGCTGGATTTTAGAGAAGAACGCGCGGATGGTTTCTTTTAACTGATCTCGACGTTTATGCTGTAATTTGCGTCGGCCGAACTCGAGCGCCGGAGGGGCGCGAGAGGACGACACCGCGCTCGAGAACATCGCGTGGAGGAGGGGACGAAGACACAGAGGGGGTGTTCACTCAAAATATACTATCCCTTTAAAACAAGGGGGACACGGCGGTGGGGGAGAGATAGCGGGGCAGAGAAGACGGGATAAAAAAAGAAAAGGAAGAAAGAGCGAGGGTGGGAGGGTGAGAGTATTGCCGGAAAAAAAGGAAAAAATGTCATCCTCCGTGGGGGAGCCGTGGACGACGACCGGTGAAGCGCTCGCCAGACACGAATGAGATTTAACGCAACGCCGAGGCTCGCGCAGATGCCGCTCGGGGCCTGGATGAAGAATCTTACAATAAAATTGATGGCATTTTTATTTTTAACCACGCTGTGCGACCGCTGAGAGCAAATTAAACATTAAACTGCCATTTTAATTAGGTTATTTTTGCATGAATTATCACACAGCGGTCTAATTAATAAGAAAACATTACATGCAGAAATTCATTTTAGATTATATTTTTAAGCATGATAGGCCACTGTTATGTGACAATGCGGCGTTAATAACATACTGTGAATGACAACTCTCATTTCTTATTTTTTACTCTTTAGAAATAAGGTAAATATATATTTATCAGTGTCAGTGTAATATGCATTCTTTCACTCTTTAAATTTCACTAACATGTCATTTTATATTTGTTCGATTTACAGTTTAATAAATACATTTGATAGAATAGTGGAAGGAGACGTTCTTTCGCATAATTTATTTCAAACGGCGTCTCTACTGTTCTACACTTCATGATGGATGCAGCTTGGAGCAATTTCCTCTTTCAGGTAAGAAAATGCTTATGCGTACTAATGCCGATAGCTCTTTTGTTATTTGATTTAAATTCATGTCATAATCGCTAGCATTTGTCCATAATGGCACCGGTGTACTTTCATTCATAAGTTAAGGCAAAAGAATGTTTAAAATCTGTGATTTTGCCCCTTTCACGACAGACTCCGCCTTCACAGTCCCAAACTGACGCGACCCTCCAATCAGATCTTCTACCGGAGCTCACGGATGCCGCTCAGGACCCGCCCCCTGAGCACATACCCCCGCCCCCATCCACGGTGGACACAGCGGCGCTGAGCGAGGAGCCCCTACCGGGTGAGGGAGGGGCAAAACAGGAGGGTGGGAAGGGAGTTCACTGGGGACTGGAGAGAGAACCGAGGTTAGGCTGTTTGTAGTTGTGGCATTGGTGGCTGGAGAGCGATGTAAATGAGTGAAGATGTTAATGAGCCAGTTATTTGCATAAAGTTGGAATATTATTTAGGAAGCCTGCATGTTTTCTCTCTTCTATTGTTGCCCTCAAATCTAGTTGAATCAAGATCATATTTACAAGATGAGCTCATGAACGATCACAGTGTTGAAATATTGTCAGTTCAGGGTTCCAGAAGTGAAAATGTGATTCATTTTCTCTATCCACCTTTTTCTTTAATGCGGAAGTAAACCTATGGGTGAGATTTCCGGTTCATTAGCCGCTATAGGTAAATAACGAGGAGAATAACAACGTGGAGTAAACGGTAAAACTGCCCTGCAGCTGTTACTGATGATATATTACCATCAGCCCAGCAAACACAAAACGTTCTCCTTGTTAGGTTCTCCCTTTGGGAAGCAATTTATATATACATATATATATTTATTTTTATTTATTTTTTCTTTCAAGAACATTTATTTTAATGCTCATATTGTGTGAGATAATGTTTTGGTTCATTTGAATGCCTAATTAAACAATTAACGAAAAGACGGTCTTATGCTGCTGGTGTAATGTAGCGAATTTAAGTGAACGTTAAAGCAACGTTCTCTGAACCATCACGCACAACCTAAAACAAACGTTCTATTTCCTTTAAAAATGCATGAGTGTTCTGTTCTGCTCTGGGAACGGTTTGCGAGGATCAGAAAGGAACGCACTGTCTGGGAGCTCATAAAATTGTTAGTTGGGCGTGAGTCTGATATATGTGTTTAATCCCATTGGGCGCGTACAATTATTATCGGCAGTGATCTGGAGCCGCTTATTATTTACCGCAGCTGCGTCTGCGTGCGTCTTTACCTTTAAGGACCTGCGACATTTTCCCCCCATACGAACATCCAGTTGTCTACCGCCGAAAATCTCTGTGCTGTAGAGCTGGATTTTAGAGAAGAACGCGCGGATGGTTTCTTTTAACTGATCTCGACGTTTATGCTGTAATTTGCGTCGGCCGAACTCGAGCGCCGGAGGGGCGCGAGAGGACACCGCGCTCGAGAACATCGCGTTCTCTCTTCTATTGTTGCCCTCAAATCTAGTTGAATCAAGATCATATTTACAAGATGAGCTCATGAACGATCACAGTGTTGAAATATTGTCAGTTCAGGGTTCCAGAAGTGAAAATGTGATTCATTTTCTCTATCCACCTTTTTCTTTAATGCGGAAGTAAACCTATGGGTGAGATTTCCGGTTCATTAGCCGCTATAGGTAAATAACGAGGAGAATAACAACGTGGAGTAAACGGTAAAACTGTTTGCACTACAAACCAGTGTGTTCATAATTAAGATAACATTAAAATAATATGATAAGACACACCAACTTTCAATATCAAGCAGCAAAACGAACTGTTTTGTTCAGCTAAAAATAGCTGGACGGAGTGGACGCAGATGAGACCGGAAGCCAGTCTGCGTGCGTCTTTACCTTTAAGGACCTGCGACATTTTCCCCCCATACGAACATCCAGTTGTCTACCGCCGAAAATCTCTGTGCTGTAGAGCTGGATTTTAGAGAAGAACGCGCGGATGGTTTCTTTTAACTGATCTCGACGTTTATGCTGTAATTTGCGTCGGCCGAACTCGAGCGCCGGAGGGGCGCGAGAGGACGACACCGCGCTCGAGAACATCGCGTGGAGGAGGGGACGAAGACACAGAGGGGGTGTTCACTCAAAATATACTATCCCTTTAAATCAAGGGGGACACGGCGGTGGGGGAGAGATAGCGGGGCAGAGAAGACGGGATAAAAAAAGAAAAGGAAGAAAGAGCGAGGGTGGGAGGGTGAGAGTATTGCACGGTAAAACTGTTTGCACTACAAACCAGTGTGTTCATAATTAAGATAACATTAAAATAATATGATAAGACACACCAACTTTCAATATCAAGCAGCAAAACGAACTGTTTTGTTCAGCTAAAAATAGCTGGACGGAGTGGACGCAGATGAGACCGGAAGCCAGATCCATAGAATTTACAAATGGCCGCACCCATTTTTACGACAAGAAAAAGGTGGATAAACTAATGTATTTTAGTGATCCTGCCTAATTGTCAGAAAACAACACTACCCACAATAACTGAAGAGAGATTCACCATTCAGAGAAGTTGCTGTTACCATGGAAACAGAAAGTGGGTTAATGAACCAGTGTTGTTATAGTTAACTAAAACTATTAAAAACTGATCATTAAAACAAAGCTGAAATAAAAGAAATTATAAAAATTTGATGGAAATCTTAAAATTAAAAACCTGGGATAAAATAAATATATATATATATATATATATATATATATATAAATTAAAAATATATATAAATATTATAAAACTGCATTCTCACTCTACTAAATATTTATATATATATATATATATATTATAATATATAATGCGCTGGTGGTTGTGTGTATAATCCATCTGCTCGCTTTCTTTGCTGGTTTCTTTTAACTGATCTCGACGTTTATGCTGTAATTTGCGTCGGCCGAACTCGAGCGCCGGAGGGGCGCGAGAGGACGACACCGCGCTCGAGAACATCGCGTGGAGGAGGGGACGAAGACACAGAGGGGGTGTTCACTCAAAATATACTATCCCTTTAAAACAAGGGGGACACGGCGGTGGGGGAGAGATAGCGGGGCAGAGAAGACGGGATAAAAAAAGAAAAGGAAGAAAGAGCGAGGGTGGGAGGGTGAGAGTATTGCCGGAAAAAAAGGAAAAAATGTCATCCTCCGTGGGGGAGCCGTGGACGACGACCGGTGAAGCGCTCGCCAGACACGAATGAGATTTAACGCAACGCCGAGGCTCGCGCAGATGCCACTCGGGGCCTGGATGAAGAATCTTACAATAAAATTGATGGCATTTTTATTTTTAACCACGCTGTGCGACCGCTGAGAGCAAATGAAACATTAAACTGCCATTTTAATTAGGTTATTTTTGCATGAATTATCACACAGCGGTCTAATTAATAAGAAAACATTACATGCAGAAATTCATTTTAGATTATATTTTTAAGCATGATAGGCCACTGTTATGTGACAATGCGGCGGTAAT